AAAAACAGCAATGAGCCCTCTACTTGCTCTTACAGTCCAGCCATGGCAACACGTACGTAAACCAAAATGTGTGCCATGATGCATCAAGTACAATGGGAGCCCAGAAACCTTACGTTTAAACCACAAAAGTTTGGCTGAGGTGGAGGAAGTAGATGTGTGTGCAGAGGTTTTAGAGAAAGTAAGCCATAAGCTGGTTCCTTCAGGGTTGGTTCCTTGTGTTTCTCTTCTTTCCTTTCCAAAAATATATCAATTAATAGTAATCAATAGTAAAGGAATAGGAGAACCACTGGAGAATGAGAGTATGCAAAAGATTATCAGAGAGGCCCGGAAATGGTGAGAAATTGAAAAGCAGATGGAAGAGGTGTAACTGCTCATGCCAGCAAAAGGAAGTTACATCCTAATCTGCAGAAAGGAACCACTCACAACTGGGCCAACTACTGCAGATATATACATATTTGAGATAGGGTTTCATGTAGCCCATGTTATCTTAAAACTAGCTATGCAGTGAAGGATAATCTTGAACTTCTAATCTTCCACCTGAACTTCCTAAGGGTTATGACTACATGTGTGTGCCACCACACCTGACTAGCCCCAGATGATGCTTACCACTTTAAAAACATAGATATTTATTTTTATGTGTATGGATATTTTTAATTAATTTATTTATTTATGTATACAGTATCCTGCCTGTAGGCCAGAAGAGAGCACTAGATCTCTATAGGTGGTTGTGAGCTACCATGTGGGTTGCTGGGAATTAAACTCAGGACCTCTGGAAGAGCAGTCAGTAAGTGCTCTTAACTGCTGAGCCATCTCTCCAGCCCTGTGTATGGATATTTTGCCTGCATATGTGTCTGTGCACCCCATCCTTGCAGTGCCCATGGGGGCCAGAAGACAGCATTCTATCCCGCTGCGACTGGAGTTACAGTTGGTACAGTGAGCAGCCATACGGGTGCTGACAAGCTCTGGAAGAAGAGCTAGCATTCTTAACAACAGCTGAGCCACCGCTCCAGTCCCCCCACCATCACACCCTTTTAATGTTGAGTTAGTTTGCCTGTGCGGAGGAGCCGTGCATGCGTGCCATGTGTGTGCAGCAGTCAGAGGACAACCCATGGGAGTCGGCTCTCTAGTTCTCTCCTTTCACTGTGTGAATTCCAGGGACAGATCTCTGGTCATCAGGCTTGGCAGCAAATGCCTTTCCCTGCTGAGTGAGACCTGCCCTTCCCTTACCCCACTTCCATCACTACCTTCTCTTCTACAGTTGTCCTTACATAACACACCATATACTTTATTGTCACTTTAATTACGGTATCCTACAACTAGTATATAAACTCTAAGAAGATGGCGGTTTTCATCTGTTGGCTCACATATACTTTGTTGACAGCTGGCCTGGAGCCAGCATGGCATACTATTTCAGGGATGGATGGGTGGATGATGGAAGTGTACCATGGGAGATAATGGGAGATATTAGCTTGAAGGAGATGTTGACCGGTACAAATTAAGAGTTGGTTCTCAAGCCGGGGGTTGTGGTGGCGCACGCCTTTAATCCCACCACTCGGGAGGCGGGAGGCAGAGGCAGGCTGATCTCTGTGAGTTCCGGGCCAGCCTGGTCTGGTCTACAGAGTGAGTTCCAGGATAGCCAGGGCTACACAGAGAAACTCTGTCTTGAAAAAAACAGAGTACTTGTTGCTCTTACAGATAGTCCAGCTTTGATTCCCAGCACCCACAAGGTCTCTCACCACCTTCTGTAAATCCAATTCCAATTTTGAAATCCAACACCCTTTTCTGATCTCCTCAGAAATCAGGCACACGTGTGGTGCATTATATAGGCATGCAGGCAAAACACGCACACAAACATAAAATCAAAATAAACTAATTCTTTCATTTTTAAATTTATTTAATCACCTTTTACAATGCTGGAGACTGGATCCAAGACCTTATGCATGACTGGCAAACATTCTGTCCCTGAACTATCTCCTCAGCCCTCAGTGTTTTGACACAGGGGCACCCTACTTGTCTCATTCAGCCTGAGCCTTAAACTTTATTTATTTATTTATTTATTTATTTATTTATTTATTTCGTTTTTCGAGACAGGGTTTCTCTGTAGCTTTGGAGCCTGTCCTGGCACT